TATATATATATATATATACATATATATATATATATATATATATATATATATATATATATATATATATATATATATATATATATATATATATATATATATATATATACGTATACACACGCTCATATACATCTACACAAACACACACAGACACAAATACAGGCATATATATATATATATATATATATTATATAAATATATATAACCTAAAATAGTATAACTGGAGTTATATACTTGATTGATGAATTATGTTTATTTATATACACATACATATGATAACAGCCATTTTTTACTTTGGGAAAGATTTCATTCGTGCTCTCGAGTATACATCATATGTAGCCAAAATACATACATACTTATATAAATACAGTCAAATGCAAACGGAATGTATAAAGACTTATCATATAGTGTGCAAAAATAAAACACATACTAATATACACATACACTAAGCATATTAGTTCATATATATATATATATATATATATATATGCAATACCACGAGTAAATAATAGGACGCACCTGGGATTGAGAGGGTGCCAGACCAGCGGCCCTAAGAAAAATCGGGACTCTCGTCGGTGAAACTTTGCCTTCCTTATCGGCTAATTGTTTGAAGATTCCCTTTGGGGTCTGTTGTTGTGTCATATTTAAAATGCAAATCTTTTCTTTTGTATAATACGAGTGTATGTACCGTGTGACAGTGCTCTACAATGCGTTGTTATGCGCCTATGTATGTGCTTTCTTTCGAGGTGTAGTTCACTAGTTCTGCAATGAATATATAAAAAGGCCTCCATCTGAACATATGAAATACTGAACATATGAAATACATATGTACAAAATAGATATCTATGTAAATATAAAAATAAATATTCTCGACAAGAAACAGTTGCTTTTTTATAAAAAGAATTTGCTTATCGAAAAAATCAGAAATCTTCATGGCGGACTCAACTCTCGAGTCTCGCTATTTAAAACCCTAAAACCCTAAACCCGTCTTTTTTTGGGGATTGTTTTTGCATCGCCCTCTAAATTATATATAAAGAGCTATGGTTTTTGTTTTTTTGTTTTTTTGGTATATAAAAACAACTAAACAAAAAGTAAATATTTAAATAAATATCATGGCTCACTCTGAGTCTCTGGGATGGCCCTCTCTGAGTCTCTGGGATGGCCCTCTCTGAGTCTCTGGGATGGCCCTCTCTGAGTCTCTGGGATGGCCCTCTCTGAGTCTCTGGGATGGCCCTCTCTGAGTCTCTGGGATGGCCCTCTCTGAGTCTCTGGGATGGCCCTCTCTGAGTCTCTGGGATGGCCCTCTCTGAGTCTCTGGGATGGCCCTCTCTGAGTCTCTGATGGAGGATTAAATAGTCTTCGCGGAGAAGTGACAACTTCCTGAAGAGTGGAGACGAAGTCATTTTTCGAGACTTATCCGCAGCAGAGGGCCATGCATTTATTCTACTACTCTATCAAATTCACTATTTTTGAATATGCAAATATGTATGTATATATGTATTTTAAAATATGTAAAGAGAGAGAGAGGAAGGATTTTAATCATCAGATCCTTGTGTTTGTACTATTGAGGTCTCTTTCCACCTTTAAAGTAGAACATCAACCGGTGGTTTATAAATCACGTAGTAGTGTTCAGATCGCACCCCGTCAACAATACGAACAGAGTATACGGAACGTCGCACGACGTTTATATGTGGCACTTTCACAGGACCAGACGTTTGTAATAGCCATAGAGCTGCAACGTTTGGACGATAATAAACACTGAAGACTAACCTCTCTCTCATCAAGCGATGCCTCTTTTGAGTGGCTTCACGGCACCAGCCACGTGCGCTCTCCTAGCTGTACACTTGGCCATACCTCCGCTTTCAGTATGTACCTGTTTTTTTCTTTTCTTCCCTACGTGCAATGGTGCCACAGTAATCTGTATATGTAATATAGGAACGACCTTTTACTCGACATGCATAGTACTGACATACTATATGATACAGGAACATTGTTCCTCTTCCAATTCGATCTCAGGCGTGCACGATACGCGGTCTTTCATTATGAGCTTATAGAAACACAGTCGCACGCGTGTACACACATATACTCTATCGTACTCTCTCTCACGTACGTGTACACACACACTCTCTCTCTCTCACGCGTACACACACGCGTACACACACACACACACACACACATACATACACACACACACACACACACACAATCACACACACACACACACACACACACACACACA